GTCTCTGTGCCATTCATATTAAAACAATATCCCACATTTGATTGTCCCACAACTAGTCCATGCATTTGTTACTTCAAGACTGGACTATTGTAATTCTTTACTATCAGGAAGTCCACAAACTGTAGTTAAAAGCCTTCAGCTGATCCAAAATGCTGCAGCCAGAGTTCTGATGAAAATGAAAAAGAGAGATCATATCTCGCCTATCCTGGCTTCTCTTCATTGGCTTCCTGTTAAATCCAGAATAGAATTTAAATCCTAATGTTCCTAACAGAGCACTTGCCATCAACACCTTTGTTTATAGATTTTGGAGATCGGCCTGTTTTTTTTACAGTGTAGTCCTGTTTCTCTGACTGAGTACAGATACTTGTGTGAAAATGTTATGAGTAGAAGTCAGAAGTAGGAAGAAAAAAAGTAATGGAGTAAAGTATAGATACCTAAAAAGTGTACTTAAGTACAGTAACGAAGTTTTGTACTTCGTTACTTGACACCTCTGATTCGGAACCATGATGTCGAGGGCCCTTTGCAGACAGGCTTATGATAACGTGCCCCTCGCAGTGTGCTGACAGGATTTACAGGAGGAAATGAGGATGTACCAGTTGATAGAGCAACAACTACACCTGCTGAGCAGCTGGAGCTGCCCAGGGGACCACTCAGCATTGTCCAAGCAGCTACTCTCCATTCAGCTACTCCTCGTGATGGGCCTCGTCACTGGCCAAAAAGACTGCTGGGGTTGTGCACAACTTGGACATCTTATCCAACAGTGTTCCAGGTTTACTGCAGCGAAGGGAAACGGTGAGGGGAACATGTAGCTGAGAGGACACCGGTCACTGAGACCTATATGCCAACACCACACCCAGTATCAACTGACATAGCAATCGCTGTTGGCTGGACCCAGGTGGGGGACTTTTGCCTGTATAGCTCTCTTTGACACGGGGTCTAACGCAGCGCTAGTCTTACCCAATATTACTCCAGCTAGAACCGCTGTGCAAGCGACCGATGTGCAGCTCAAGACTGTGACTGGTGATTTAGCCCCCATGACAGGGAGGGGGGTGTTGGTGTTTCAGTTTGAGGTTGGAGGCCTAACTGTTGCATTTGCTGCCTGGGTTGCTGATATTCAGGATGCCTGCATCCTTGGGCTGGACTTTTTACGTGTTATCAGTTGTGTGCTGGACCTCGACAAAGGCTGCCTGCTACTCCCAGAGGGGAGGAGGTTGTAGCTCACACCCCCACCTTTAGGCTCATCCACTATAATGATTGCTGTTTGCACCTGCAAGTCCCCCCCATTACCACCCGCTGAGTAACAAACTGATGAGGAGGCAAAGCTGTCAGCAGTGAGAAACGTCTGGTCCAAGAACTGTGAGGGGCTCACGCACCAGCAGCATGAAAGTCTATGGCAGGTGCTGTTGGAAATTAGAGACATTTTTACCTTTAAAGAGAGTGATGTGGGCCTGACACACTTGGTTGATCATTTTATTGACACTGGGGATTCCCATTACTGTCAAACTGCACCCTGGTCCTCTTCCTCTCGTCCATCAGGAAGCTGCTGACAAGAGAACTGAACGAGATGCTAAAGATGGGCATCATAGAGCCATCTGAAAGTCCCTGAGCATCTGCTGGGGTGATGGTACCCAAGAAGAATAGCTCATGAATGTGCTTCTGCGTAGACTACAGGCAGAAGAACTCCTATCCACTCCCTCAGATCAACTAGGCCCTTGACTGGGTAGCGTGGTATTCTCGCTCTTGGACCTGCGAAGCAGTTTCTGGAAGGTGCCACTGTCTCCAGAGTCCAGACCAGAGACAAACTTTTGCACCAATAAGGGACTGTGGCAGTTCAGAGTTCTGAGCGTTGGTCTGTGCAACATCCCAACCACCTTCAAGAGGCTTATGGATGATGTGCTGGTTGGGGTCCCAAGACAGCAGGGCCTAGTCTACCTGGACAACGTCCTAATGCATGGGTCCTATTTTGAAACTGCCTTGGGTTCCCTGAGACTAGTGATGAAGGCTGCAGGCCTTAAGTTGCACCCTGACAAGTGCCACTTTATGAGCAGGGAGGTAGAGTTCCTTGGACACAAGCTGGGTCGAGTGGGTATCGGCATTGTTAGAGGAAAAAATAAAGACCATTTAAGACTGTCCCACTCCCATCGACCAAGTTCAGTTAAAAAGCTAATAAAAAAGCTTTAAAAATAGTCATATGAAGAATGGCCTCATATTACAGGATATTCGTAAAGGGCTACTCCTCTATAGCTGCATCACTCTTTTGCCTGTTGCAGAACGACTGTGACTTCACCTGGACAGAGAACTGCCAGTGGGGATTCAACCATCTGCGTAGGTCCCTGACAGTCTCTAATCCTTGCCCCGCCTTACCCCACCCTAGCATTTGTGCTGGACACGGACACAAGTAATGTGGGACTTGGAACTGTGCTGTCGCAAGTTGGACCTCACAGTGAGTGGAGGCCTGTGCTCCAGCAGTTGTACAACACTCCAATGTGGATGCTCTCTCCCGCACCCAATAACAGCATGCTGCTGTTATTGTGAGAGGCAACAGATAATGCCACACAGCTCCCTTACAGGACACCCAACTGGAACGAGGTCACTGGACTCTCTAAGGCCACCAAAGGACTTTGGGCCAAGTTTGGTGGTCTAAGGTTGGACAGGAGAGCACTTCAACATACCTGGAAAGATCCTGCCACGGGAGAGAACAGGTGGCAAGTTATGGTGCCCAGGTCAGTAAGGCCAGCCATGCTGGAAGCCTGTCTTTGGGGTGTCAAAGACCCTGCACCACCTCCGCAAGGGTTACTACTGGGGACAGCAAAGGAGAGATGTGGAGGATTTCTGTCAAAGCTGTAACTCAAGTTCCTCCCACAAGGGGCCTTTGGACCAGTCCTGTGTTCAACTTCAACAGCAACTAGCAGGATGCACCATAGAGCGAGTAGGTGCAGACATCATGGGGCCATTTCCCAGTACTGATAGAGGAAATTGTTATTGTTGCAATGGACTATGTCACCAAGTGGCCGGAGGCTTACGCAGTCCCTGACCAGGGGGCAGAAAAAGGGTGGAACTTTGCGATAAAAGTTGGTGGGGCGCTCCAAGGGTGGGGGTGTTCTATCCATCCATCCATCCATCCATCCATCCATCAACCCATCCTTCCATCCATCAACCCATCCTTCCATGCATGGCTTCCCTTTAAGCTGCATCAGTGATATCCTCCTTCTAAAGCAGCTAAATCAAACTTATAAATTTGTCCCTCATATTGCTGAGAGCCAAAGTCTATGTATTGAACCTTATATTTCAAAAATCATTTATACACAGAGTTTTATCATTTGAGCTTTAATCCTTGTAGGTTTCTTATACTTAAATTTTAAGTCTGTGTCCTCTGAGTTGCCCTGCGATGGGCTGGTGACCTGTCCAGGGTGGACCCCACCTCTCGCCCGAAGACAGCTGGAGATAGCACCCATCGCGACCCCAATTGGGACAAGCGTGTCAGATAATGGATGGATGGATGGATGGATGGATGGATGGATGGATGGATGGATGGATGGATGGATGGATGGATGGATGGATGGATGGATGGATGTCCTGTGAGTCTGGCTGGATGGATGTCCTGTGAGTCTGGCTGTCTCTGTGTTGCTGCACGGCTATTTCTGAGTCTTGCTGAACTACCAAAGTGTCATGATGTGGCCTGTTTGCGCCCCCTTAATTAGTCATTTCTTTCACCTGTCGTTTTCCCTCCCTGCCTCAATTATCATTTATTCCTCTCACCTGTTTCCTTTGGTTTATATTCTGTTAAGCCTGAGCATTCTTGGCAGATCATTAGATGTTCTATTCTGTTAGTCTGTTGAGTTTGTTCAGTTAATTGCAAGGATCAAGTCCTGGATCCTGGCAGCCAGTGGAAAGAGGGTTTTTGTGTCTGTCTCGTCTCCTGATCGTCCACTGTTCCTCCCCTGCTGAGTCTTCTGGATTTTGGCTCTGTATGCGGGGAGGTTCCGTTTTTATTCCAATAAGCCTGGCTCCAAGATGGAGACCAGTTTAAAGGTCCTGCATCGAGTTCTGGTTCCACGTCCTGTCTGGGCTACCCTCTTCCACTGAGCCTGTCCGTCTGCACCTGATCCTGTCTGTCCCTGTGTGTGGCCGCCCGGTCAAGCTTCTGGACTCTGAGCCTGCCTGGAGCTCTAGGATGCCTGGAAGCCTGAATCCTGTGTTCTGTCTGTTTCTGCCTGTTCTGTATCCCTGACCAGGATCGGTTTCCTGAGCTGCAGCACCGGGGACACATCAGCTCTACAGTCCAGCGGCTGGATTGCGTCCCTTTCCAGGGAGATGGACTGGACTGTTAAACCAGAGTGTCTAAGATGGCAGTCGCCGCGAGCCACAGTCCCCACAGCTCCACTTTAGTTTCCATTTGTTTGTGTTTTTGTTTCAATAAATGTTTTAAACTTTCCTACTGATTGTCTCTCCTTAAATACTGCGTCCATCTGTCCCTCTTCATGACAAGAAGTAAAAAAGATATGTTGAATTTTATAATAGCAATATAATGATGCCAGAGAAAATCATTTTCAGGATCTCTAGAAGCTCTGCAGTCTGATTCTCTGTTCAATCTGAAAACAACAGATCTGTGTTCATTTTAATCTGGAACTCTGAGTAATGCTCCTCTGAGAAGTTCAGCTTTTTAACTTATATAAATGTAAACTCTGTTGCCATTTTTAGCTGAAAAAGCGCCGTATGTGTAACCGACGGATTTTTCGGTGGCATCTCTAATTTTTTTAACCAATCCGTCTCCTAACTTTTAGTGAAATATCAAAGTAGCTGCTGGTTAATATTCACTGAGTGCTGCTGTGTCTCTCCTCCTCCACGTAGCTACTCTGTATGCAGTGAATGGCGACCCGAAATAATGTTTATGTCCCAAAGTGACAGATCCAATGATGTTACACAGAGAGGAGGGACTGGAGAGCAGCGGGAGAGCGAGGAAAAAACACGGACTGAAAACGCTCTGAACACAGACAGCTGCACCCAGTTACCGCTGGCTGGAGGAAATGAGCGGAAATTATTGGTGGGGACATGTCCCCTCCAGGCCAAAGGTGGTGGAGACATGTCCCCTCCAGGCCAAAGGTGGCGGGGACATGTCCCCTCCAGGCCAAAGGTGGTGGGGACATGTCCCCTCCAGGCCAAAGGTGGTGGGGANTGGGGACATGTCCCCTCCAGGCCAAAGGTGGTGGGGACATGTCCCCTCCAGGCCAAAGGTGGTGGGGACATGTCCAAAGTATGAATGTCTTGACATTTAAAAGACCCCCCCCTTCATGCCACTCCACCCCTACAGCGATGGCTTGGTTGAGAGGTTTAACAGGACACTGGCCCAGCAGCTGGCCATCCTCACATCAGAACACCAGCGTGACTGATAAACCTTCCTTCCTCTTGTCCTTTTGGCCGACAGGTCAGCAGTCCAACACTCAACCCAGTGTACACCTGACTTGCTCATGTTAAGGAGAGAAATACGGACCCCTGCAGACGGCGTTGTGTCCTTATGGCGCAACGACACAACAATAGGCCCGCTAGCGATGAAGTACAACATCAAGCACAATGAGGCTGAAACTCAAAAATTGTCCCACGACTTTAGAATCAGCCCAAAAAGTGGGCTGTTTGTCTGCATCATCAGCAGGAAAAACCAAACACAGCGGCTTCCAAGTTTTCCACAAGAAAATGAGATTCTCATGAATCATGCCTGATTGGCATCGTTCATAGAGTTCCCATCATTACGGAAAACCTGGGCTCCGTTCCAATGAGCAGGTTTACTGAAAACTAAACCTGAAACCAAGTTTCCATTTCAAAGAGACAGTTTCCTCATCCTCTGTTTCTGTTGCCATGGTAACATTCTGGGAAGAGCTGCAGCAGGTTTGGGTCAGTAAACTCCTCTCTCTCCTCTCTGGGTCGCCCTGGACAACATAAGGAGCCATTTGAGATGGAATCACTGTTTTTGGTTTTTTTCTTTATGTAAACTTCGTTGCTCAAAAGGATCAATGTGTCCATAATGAAATGTGACATTTTTTATCACTATTGTTATGAGATTTCTCCGTTCTCTGATTGGTAAATAATGAATAAAATGAACTTTAAAAGTGCTATTTGTCATATAAATGGTAATTTAATTCAATTACACTTTATTAATTCCTAAAGGGAAATTCAGTTTCTTTACAGCCATCTGGGGGGGCGCGGTGTTCGAGGCCCTGCTGCTGTAAAAGGAATCCAACAAAACTTTATTTATCTAATCAGCTGCAGCATTAATGCCAACATGTTTATCATTTGGGTTCCGGCATCAGTGAGGAGAAAAGGTTCACTGGGAAACACTGCGCCCCCATTAGCCCCCTTAGGTGTGTTTAGTTGCTGGGCTAATAACTGATGCTCAGTTGTCCATTTTTAAGCAAACGCACCTGCCTTTTCCCATTACCATTGAATGCAGCACAGAAGTTTGCTGTTTATACTTTAGAAGTGTTTTAATTTCCTCTAAAATGAAGCAGGTTTCTGCCTCTAAATAGTCAGCGTTGGTCGCTGTGCAGCATTGTTACATCACAGCATCAAAATGATCATCATGCCCAGCAGCTGCTGTCCATAAAACAGGCCTGACTGATGGCATTTAGTGCAGAGCATCAGAGTCAGGACGTTTGGAATGAGTAATACTGAATCCTGCAGCAGTGAAAAGGCAGCAGATCCCTTGTTTTAAGAAGGTCGTCATTTTAAAAATGGAAACATTAAAGATGATTTGGGTTGAATGTGTTTAACTGTCTGTGGAGTTTCAGAAAATGTTTCTGTTAAATTCTCCTCTCTGGGTTTTTCTAATCAGGTCTGATTATTTTAGGTTCAGTTCAATTCTCTGATCTTTCAGCATCTGTAAAAAAAATCTAGCTCATTTTGTTCTACTGTCACCAAACCAGAGTCTCTTTTAAAACCTACCATAGAGCAAAAAAAAAAGAAAAAAAAATATTAATGACCCAATTTATATATATTGAGATTTAAGTTTAAACATTAAAGATGTGTTTAGATTTTATTGAACATCTAATATTCTGTCATTTCTGACACATTTTAGATGCAAATAGAACATTTATAGATAAAAGCTGTAGAAATAGATTTAAAATATAGATTTATCATTAGGTTTAATGAGAATTTGCCACTAAATGTCAGACAGAAGCATAAAATATGAAGTTATTATGCTAAATAACAGAAATGTGAGACAATAAGCTTTATTTTCTAATCTTTTCTGATTGAAACTATTTGAAGCTTTTCTGGATCTCTGAGCCTCCTGGTCAGAGCTGCTCTATGCTGCTGCATGTCTGCTTTGATGCACGCGCTGTCAGACTGTGATCAAAGTGTCCGCTGATGATGTGTGAGCGCGCGTGGATCAGTCGTGTCAGAGCTCAGACACGCGCGCAGGCGATAGAGTCTAAAACACGACTTTCTGTCAAAATAGAATCTATTCAGTCTAGCTCTATGCGCAGTGAACGATGGGAGTTTCCTGCCTCCTTACCTGAAGAATCATAGATGATGTAGATCTGTAAAATCCAGCATAGATCCCAAATGAGGAGCATCCTTGGTTTCTGTCCTGCGCTCAGAGACATCAGGGCCAAACTTGGAGCGTTTCCCTCTTTGCGTCCTGCGCTCAGCGGCCGCCTTCACTCCGCGCTGCTCCTCCTGCCAGCACCGCTGCTCCTCCTGCCAGCACCGCTGCTCCTCCTGCCAGCACCGCTGCTCCTCCTGCCAGCATCGCTGCTCCTCTCTGGAGCCGGGAGGTCCGCTCCTCTGCTGGGAGCTGATGCTGGCTGGAAGCGCGCAG